TACATACTTACTCCGACATACACGTACATGTATGCATACACACGTATACGCACTTCTGATAACAATAGTACAAAATAAGTAATAACTGCATAAATTTTAAACAATAAACTAGATAATTTTATACGGACTTGCACACGTAAAAGTGATCAATTTTATGAGTAGGTATGCAAATCACTCACACACTTCAATCCCAAGAAAGCAGCAGGGAATGGATTGAAGACACACAGACATGTGTTTAATAAACAGCTGTTGCATTTCTTACAATATGCACACCCACAACATGGGTATGAATTCCTTCATACCTAGACGTATTAACGTCTAGATGTGCAACATACGTGTACACACATGCACACTCTTATATATATATATATATCCAGTTATTCGTCTACATATATATATATATTAAGGTATGTTTGTATATTTGTGTTTGTAACGCATCTATACGCAATACAGAGATACATACAAACAGTAAGCATACACGCATATAACCGGTTTTTACACTTTCTCATTGTGTATTTGTGTAGATTACGCTAGCATACGCACATATAGACGTACAATATACAGGTATATGCAGTTAGAAAAATATCTCTTCATTAGACGTAAGTCATTCAGATTTATAAATAAACATACTGGTTTAATTTACAGATATTCACAACTTTAGTGATTTGATGGCAAGCGATTGATCTAATACTTTTAACTTAATCAATACACACGCGCGCAATTATACCATAAATACAATTACAGAGATATCATTTCTTAGTTGAATAATAAATACGAAATGGTATATTTGTTATATCTCTTCTACTTCTATGAAGGAATTAATTTTTTAAACATATTTGTCATTAAACTAAAGTAATTCAGGTTCCTTCACATCTGTTTTTCATTACAAGTTGGAAAAATTGATTGATTAAATGGAAGAAATATATACGCCATCTAAATTTTAAAACCTGTTTTGACTTGTTTAAAATTTTTCGATCAATCGATTGATTATGGAAATTATTATCAAACGCAGCGAATTATTTTTATTAATTATCTTATTATTTATTGATTTATTAGCAAAAAAACTAATCACTAATCATTATTGATTGCTTGCTTGGATAAAAAGTAGTTAGAGAATATTTTTACATTATATATATTTAAACTTTTTACAATCCAAACAAGCACATTTTGCTTAGAAATTATATACTTACTTTATTATGGAAAACAATTTGCGTGCGTGATATACTTCACAGCAAGCATTCTAACACGCAAATTACTATTTATTATTACTTTTTTAATTTGTGTTTGTTATTTACTTTGAGTATGGAACATTCAATGAAGTCAGTAACTAATCAACTACGAACTTTTTTCAAGATCAAAAATATTTTAGATAGATTAGAATGTTATTCACTGATTTGAGTTGAAAATTGAAATGATCATCAGAGTAGCAGAACTAATTTATTATTCAAATATATTATATGCATATTTTATTCAAGTATAGCTTATTTTTATTCAAATACTAAATATTTTCTGCAAGCAATATAATTAATTAATTTCTTGCATTTATTTTTTCCACCTTTTTTAAATATAAAAAGCTATGAATTATAAGTTTCTGACATAACTTCTCTCAAGTTTAACAAATTTAATAGGAATTGTTTTACAACAGAATTGTTGTACTTAAAAAATCAGTCTCAAGAAATCAAAACGTCAAATAAAAACTGATCTGGGACGAAGTTAAATGACTGTAAATGGATTACATTTTATTTATTATTAACGAATTCTTATCTAATCTAATTTACATATAAATATAAGTACTGCTTAGAAATACTGACTGCTCACTTCATTGTCATTATTAAACTGAACTCATTTCCAGTTTGAAGTATTGCTTTCGTTTGCCAAATTATAGTGTAAGAGTAAAAATTTGATTAAAACGAGTAAGAAATAAGCTTCAAATTTTATGGCATATAAAATAAAAGCAATTTAAATTATTCATAATCGTATAAAACTTATTTATTTATTGATAAATAACTAAAAATAAACCAGTACTTCGTTGAATATAGCACTATCATTAATAACTAAAACTAAAATTTGCATAATTTTTTGTAATTAACGACATAATAATAATTTTTTTTTGTACATTACACACAGTTAAAGATATCTGAACATACCTATGAATTATAATATATTTATTTTTAACTCTTTTAATTAATAATATAAATTATTAAAAAAATAGTGCATTAATTTTAAAAGTTATTAATACTTTGTGAGAATGTACTGAATAACCTTCGAATGTTAGTCGAAACATGCATGAACAATGCTTTTGCATTGGTTGACAAACTAACTTTACTCTTGAGAATTGCCAATAACATATGAACTTCTAACTTTGTAAGAATCAAAAATTGCTTCACTTAATAAGCTTAGACACAGAAAATCAATCTAAAACAAGTAAAGCTTCAGATGTCGCTGAATGGCATATATGCATATATCGTTTATATCCCTCAGAAATAAAAAAATTTAAATATTTATTCATGTATGCTGTCTACATTCTTGCATATTCTTCTATAATATGCATATATATATATTCGACAGCTAAGTCTGCTTCTCTAATACTAACAATTTTTTAGCGTACTTTCTGAATCCACCAACAATCTGAATCTTTTATCATTATTTGTGTTTGTGTTTGTGTTTGTGTTTTCTAGTTGACTTCCTCAAAAGTATTTATTGTTGTCAAAAATAAAAATAAAAATTGCAAGAAAAAAAAAAAGAAGCAAATTCAATTAAACTTGGAAGAGATGCATTGTTCTCGAATTGCTTGCTTACTTCCTTCCGAGACAAGCTGATTTCTTCTCTCAAACTTTTTACTAAATAAAAAATGTTTCCGTATTCATTGAAACGTTTACATGTGCTATTCACAGACATCACGTACGATTCTTCACGTCGGTAAGAAGTGTTCAATTATATTCTTTAACAAAAAATCAATACATCTCAAATAAACCTCAACTAATTACTGAATAATTTTTTTTTAGTTGATTAAATTTATCATATTTTCTTTTGAAAAATGAATAATAATTATACTTAATTAATTTATAGCTAATTTACCGAAGAAGACAGATTTGTGATTGAAATTTGTTTAATGAATAAGTATAAATGAAATGAAGTTAACAAATGCAAAATGCAAAATATTGAAAGATTGTGAGATTATGATATATATAATTTGATCTGAATACTTAAATAGAAATGGAATAAATTTAGAAGTGCTTTTTAAATTAATTAAATTTATTTCCTAAATTCGTTGTATTTTAGTACTTTACCAATTCAGAAATAAAATGAATATACTACACTTTACTTTCCAAGTACTTAAAATTAAACTGTTTTTGAGCCACTTTGTTTTCAAAATTTGTGTTCTAATTCATTAATCAGTTTATTGTTGTTATGGTTTTTTGTTTATTTTTATTGCATAAATTAATTAAAT